CAGAACAGCAATAATAGCATATTATGTTATAAATATAGCATATAATGCTGTGCACTGGTGACCGAAAAGCACAGAACAGTGTCCAGCTGCTCAACTGCTTAACTCCAAAGCAAGCAACAGCTCTATCATGTGCATTTAATTAGGTCTTTATCTATTGTACTACACTGTTTATGGTCTACTCTCAAGCACTACTGCTCTGCTGACATGGTAAGTATGCATGCAGATGCCAGCCATTAGCAGCACTGTATGTTCTGTTGATGCTACATATTGTTATATGTGATATCTCCTACGCTGAGTGTCATGGGTGTCTGGTGTAGACTCTAGCTGGGCTTCTAATGGATTGTAAACAGTCTTGCTCCTAGTCTGGCATTTAACTGTATCCCTTTGCACACAATGCCCAGCTTATCATTGCTTCAGCGCAACTGCTACAGTGACTAATACCTCCTTTTTTCAGTCTTCAGAGTATTGCTTCAATCTCCATACTACAGAATAAGGAAAAAGAGTCATCCCTACCAAATTAATTGGGAGAAAGTTCCTTCCTGATAACAGGTTTGGTGATTAGTTTAATTGTGACCACGCGAGTAAAATACCCTTTTAGTGCCACTTGGGTTTAAGATCTAAAACTCATCATTTCATTCTAAATCATTTACTTATTAATATGGGTAAAAGAATTACTGCAGCCTCCCTAGTGCTGCAGGGGAAGACATAGAAAAACTGGAAATAAAAGTTATATATGAGGGCTGCTCCAAAAGTAATGCCTCCTATTTGATGATGTTGGTCCATGACATCAGGATCGGATGTTGATGGTATGGAAGTAAAGACTAAAGCTTCCTGCTGATATTTCATTACATTTTGTTGCCACGAGACAAAAGGGCAGTCTGGCAAAATAGCATCTGACATAGAAGCAAAGGTGTGTCATTGAATTCCTTCATGCAGAGAAAATTGCACCATTGACATTCGTCAACATTTGCTGATCATTTATAAAGATCAAATAATGGATGCAAGCACAGTGAGGCAGTGCATTTCAGCAGCTGTGACAGCAGGTCACCTCCACTGGTGCAGATTTTTACAGCCACAACTTGCAGGCTCTTGTTCATTGCTGGCAAAAATGCATAAGTAATGGCAGCGGCTATACTGAAAACCAGTGTATTGTAAACAATAATTTGCTCTATTGTATAGTGTTATTGTGGCTTATTGCTTTCTAGGGAAATAAGTAGGAGGCTTTACTTTCAGAGCAACCTATTTTGGGATCTGAAGAAGAAAAACATAGGCAAAAAAAAAAAAAAAAAAAACATCACAAATGATCAAATGCAATCCTAAAACATAGGATTACTGTATGTTGGTACTTGGAATCAGCGAAATTTTGTCTGCTAAGTTAGCTGTGATATCAGGCAAAGTGTCATTAGGAACATCAGTAATCACATATAGGGAAAAAGTTGACTCATCTAACTGGAGATAGGCTCCCTAGGTCTCAAACACTCCTTCTCAGAAAGTAGCCTCCATGCAGATGACAGACTCTCTTCAGAGGCTAGCCCATAAATGAGCCCAGGGAGGGGCAGATTCATGTTCATCCCTTCCAGTCACGTGGGAAGTACAGGTAAATTGCTTGCACCTGTGCTTCCTGGGTCAGCCACCCTCTTTACCAGGCCCTCAATCATCAGTTCAGACTGTGATATATCAATTCCCTTACATTGTACCAGAATAAATAAATAAATAAATAAATAAATGCGAATGCACAACAATCTGATTTTACCTTAGCCTCAAGGATTCCTTACTCAAAAGCTTAACATTTCTCATTCTGTGCTCAAGTCTTTCCCTACATTATTCATTCCTATATAAAAAATATACATTCCTTGTCCTCTACTCTATTTAGAATACCTTTAATCTTCATTTTCTAATTTTCTAATTAAATTAATGTTGGCCATTTCATAACCATTCTACCTTATAACATGACTTAAATTCTCTGTGATAATATATTTATAGTCATTACTTCCACTCTCATCCAGTTTTTCTGTTTCTTTCCAAACCTTGAGAGAGAACGAAAGCAAGCAAAATGCACATAGCCAAGGAAAGCGTGAGCAGAACCACAACATTTTGACCCCTGATAGAAACATTCTCTTGAGAGTGGGTGAAGTGAGTGAACTTCAAATGTGTATGACCTTATATGTTGCCTAAGCACAGCCAGGAAGCAGGTGGCATTCTACTGCTATTTCTCGATAGCTTTAATTCAACAGGTAGTATGACAGAGAGTTGTTTGATTAGTTAGTTTTGTTTTGCCGGACTGAACTCACTGTGAAAAAAAACACAATTGGAAAATTCTTGTGCTAAGAGCCCAAGTTCCAGGTACTTTTCAGCCCACACTTGTGCTTGGGATTCCTGTAACCCAGGTGCAGGGTCTTGCATTTGGCTTTGTTGAACTGCATGAAGTTCAGATGAGCCCACCTCCCAGGCTCATTAAGGTTGTCCCCCTGAATGGCAACTCTCTCCTCAGAAGCGTCAACATCATTCAGTTCAAGGAATTGAATTATGCTATTTACATTGAATTGAATTATGTTATTTACAGGTGTCTGGTTGATGATTACCCTGGTTACTTCCACATCAGGGGCTGAATATTTGAAATACAGATGAAAAGACTTTGAACTTTATCACATACTGTTCCTTTGTTGATTCACATCTAGCCACTGCACAAAAAGACTGATCTGAAATCAGCTTTTAAAACTAAATTAGTACCTGTAGAGAAGTATCTTGTTAGGTGCTTAGATGAATAAAGGAATAATTTGGAGAATACAACAGTAATCTAGCTGTACCACTCCATAACTTTAAGATGTCAGGGACTTTTTAGCAGTCCTGTATATACAAAGCATACTTATGAAGAATGAAGCTAAAAGATGAGGAATTAGATATCTGAATGTAGTTGCAGGGCAATGATTGTATTAGGGTCACAGAGATGTAGTGGAATAGCTCACACAACAGGAGTGCTGATAGGCTCCTTGAGAAGAACAGGCTGAGACAGAGAAGTTATCCTTTATATGATAGGAACAAAGCAAAAAAGCATGGCTAAAACTCTCAAACTTATAGAATGGCCTGGGTTAAAAGGCACCTCAAAGACAATCTAGTTTCTACCCCTCTGCCATGGGCAATTGCCACCAACTAAATCAGGCTGCCCACAGCCCTGTCCAACCTGGTCTTAAGCACTCCAGAGACAGGGTATCCACAACTTTTCTGAGCCACCTGTTCCAGTGACTCACCACTCTGAGTAAAGAATCTTTTCCTAACAGCTAAAATCATTTTCGCCTCTTTTAGTTTAAAGCCTTCAAGACAACAGATTTCAGCCGCATAAGGGATCTATTCAGATCTATTTAAAAGAAACAATGTCCTGAAGATGGGCCCATGAGAGCTAGATGACTTATAAGGATTGCATCCTCAAAATTAAAAAATGATCAATCTCTATATGCAAGCTAAGAAAAGATGGCAGACCTGCTTAGATGAATAAGGAGGTTGTGACAAAACTCAAGTGTGAAAAGGAAGCACAGCAGGTGGAAGCAGAGTTGAGTGATTCAGGAGGACTTACAGAAATGCTGTCTGAGCATGCAGGGGTGGCATTAGAAAGACCAGAAAATAAAGAAATAAATAGATAGATAGATAAGAAGTTGAACTTGGCAAGGAACATAGAAAGCAACAACAAAGGATACAGGAATATCAGCTAAAAAGGGAAGACTAAGAAAAATGTGAGCCCAGTGCTGAACGATATAGTGGACTTGGTGACAAAAGACATGAAAAAGACTAAATGACTTCATTAACTCAGTATTTACTAGTAAGATGAGCTTTCAGAAATCCTAGGTCTCTAAGATCAGTGAGAAACAAAAACACACTTATCCACAGCAGACGAAGAACTATCTAAGTTTCTAAATGTGTAGTTAATAGGCTCATTTTATGATTCTAAGGGTGGAAATAAAGACTGAGCCAGTCTTCTCAGTGGTGCCCAAGGATGAGAGGAAATGAGCAAAAACTGAAATAATGGCAATTCCATTTAAATATTCAATACATATCTACGTACCTACAAGGACTATTAAATACTGGAAAAGATTACTCTAAGTCTCCATCCATACACTCATACAAACCCAAATAAACTTGCTCCTGAAAAACCTGACCTAGTTTACCCTGTTCTATACAGTGTGGTTGAAGATAGCCTCCATCAGTTTTCCAATCTCAGCAATTCCATTGAGGAGAACTAATACTACCAGTATAAATAAATAAATAAATAAACAAATCCACTCACGTCAAGTTGAAGGCCTAAGATATTTGGCAATCAGTATGAAACAATAATAATCAGAGGACTGTTTGGTACTTTAGGTCCCTAAGTATGACACTTCAGTCTTGACCCAGTAACTTCTTCTAGCAGCTATACCAGCAAGCCCTTTGACTGAGGAGTCACATTTCCATTCTTTCAGTGAACTGTACTGTACTTGTGGTAGACTCTTATTTCTTATTTCAAGAAAAGGAAGAAAATGTGGCTTTCTAGGGTGCAAGACAATTAATATAATACCCTGCATTTGGAAATAAATGCAGAATGAGACAATTTCTCTAAGATTTAAGGTGAAGTTAGGAGCTTCTGCCTTTCTCAGATGAAGAGATGAGCTTACCTGCCTTAGAGTAGGAAGTCACACAAACTTTTTATGTAAGACTGATTGATGGAGACTCTTTTAATAATGCTTATCCAGGTTGTAGGTTTGATCTGGTAAGCCTGGTAATTTGACTGTTTACAAATTTCTAATATGTAAAAGGGTTGTATGTTACAACTGACATTAGACAAGGTGGAATTCCAGTGGTTTCAGAGATGCTCAAAGACTGACTGAGATATACACAGCGGATCATTTTGGATTTAGCTTCAGCTGTTAAATAGACATATAGAGCTGTAGTTACATATCCAATTTTTCAAACAGGATGATAACCATAATCAAGTTTATGACTATGTATCAAAGATGTTGGAAAACTGAAGATTTTTATGAAACAATTTATTCAATAACTGAATTAAATGTGCACTGAAATACGCAGATCATTATTTGCCAAGTAATTTGATATACTAAATGACCTTGCTGGAACAAGTGAGGAAAGACAGTATTTTTAGTCTAGTTCATTTACTTTGTTTACCTCAACAGGAGATGGCTCCTGGAAAAAACTTACAAAATGAATTGATACATTCAAAAGAACTGCCCCTTTCCACCAGCACTGTGTGTGTAGACTGTAACTCCAGATGTTACAGAACTGCCAGATATTAACATAGTTTTTCATGTTTTTCCTTTACAAATTAGCAGTGTAGCGATCTCGATTCAGGAAGTCTTTATAAGCACGTTTTGCATCTGTTTTACTGTGCGGGATTCTCCCAAATGGTTCCAGATCATTGAAGCAGGCATCAAAAACCTCATCCACAGCTTTTTCTGCAGTCTCTCTGCTAACTTTTCTTACAGCCAGAATGGAGCGAATTGCTCTGTCTCGCACACAGGTCTAAAATGAAAATCAGATAAAGAAGATCTGTCATTACTTGAAAAAACAGAATACATTCTTTTTTCCTTAAAAAAGATTTTGTCAAGTACTAACTTATACTACACGCACAATGATTTTTATCACAGAAAAGTCAAGCAAATGTCTCCACTAAGCATTAAAATACGTAGTTTTCAATTCTGTTTTGACTATGTATTTTAGTTTTCCATTGCGTACATAAACCTTCAGAAAAGAAAATGATATTCCATTTAACAGGAAAAAATAAAATTTTAGATTTGCTGTGGGTATTGAATATGTGTATAATTTGACTTGCGCACAAAATATGTCAAAAATAAACAGACATAAATACCAATTAGTACTTTTCCAATTGAAATTCTCTAAAACATAAAAAGGAACAATTCCTCTATTAGCCTTTGTTTTGATATGTTTCTTTATGCCTACTTTTGCTTACACAGTTTGTATACTAAAAGATAAGAATAACATAAGCATCTCCAGCTACAAATGCTGGAGCCAGCATATTGCTGCTCTGGAGTAAACAAGACTAAGGACTTTGGGACAAAACCTGTAATCTTTATTATTAAAAAAATTAATTCCTTCAAGAAGCACTGGTGCAACTTTGCTCCCTAACCCTATAATGGTAATATGGTTACTGTAACCAACAATATGGCAAACATTCACAATTGCAAGTGGGCTGGCCATGTACCACTCTTCCCCCTTATCTCTCCCCCTCTCTGGCATCACAGTGTGAGGATGTCCATTCAAAGGGTAAAGTCCTTTTGCATTATCAAGGCCCAGGTGCTGGGTCATGATAAGGATGTGATTACACCCCTCATATAATATGGAAGCACAAAGAGCACTTGGATTTGGGACACAGAACTGGAAACTGTAAAATCAAGCAGCAGCAAGCACCAAGTGGGACCCAAACCAGAACTGCTGCTGTAAGATCAAACCTATGACTCCTCTGGTGCCTCATCTTCATTTCAGAGGACTGAGTGAGTGGCTCACGTTTGTTTAGTCAGAGTTTAGGTTATGATTAGTGCATTACATACTGATTAACAAGAATCTGACCCAATCTGCAGAGGGTCCAGGTGACTGAAAAAACCTGTGTGACTAAGAATTCTAGAAACTGTATGTTAAGTGTAAGCTACACTAAGTGACAGAAATTGTAGATAACAACCAATGCTGACTGCTAAAATTTTATGTAATTATAAATCTTTAATTACAATCAAAACCCTGTAACCAGCTGTCATTCTTCCAAAGATCTCTAAAACAATCTGCTTGTCCTCAGCAGCATTGGGTGACACGTGATTATTTAAACCCATTGCAATATCTCTTCCTCCAATTTTCAAACCCTTGAAGCTTTAACCCTTTGGAGTAGGTGAAGTAATCCTGTTACATTTCCTGTGAATCCTGTTTTTGTTTAGTTTTTATTAACCATCCACTATCAGTGGCAATGCTTTAGAATATGACTAAGTATTCTGGTATTTCACTCTAACAAAAATAATTAAGAAAGTGTTTTAAATTAATAATCTTGATGAGAGGATTGAGTGCACCCTCAATAAGTTTGCAGACAAGACCAAGTTGCTGTCTAAGAGAAGAAAGGCACTACAGAGGGACCTGGACAGACTGGATCAATAGGCCATGGCAAACTGCATGAGTTTCAATAGGGCCAAGTATCAAGTCCTGCATTTTAGTCATAACAACCCCAAGCAACCCTACAGGCTTGGGGAGGAGTGGCTGGAAAGCTGCCTGATGAAAAGGGACTCTGGTGTACTGATGGACAGTCAGCTGAATATGAGCCAGCAGTGTGCCCAGGTGGCCAAAAAGGCCAGAGGCATCCTGCCTTGTATCAGGAATGGTGTGGTGAGCAGGACTAGGGAAGTCATCCTGCCCCTGCACCTGGCATTGGTGAGGCCTCACCTTGAGTACCGTGTTCAGTTTTGGGCACCTCAGTACAGAAAGGACATTGAGGTGCTGGAGCAGGTCCAAAGAAGGGCAACAAGGCTTGTGAAGGACTTGGAGAATATGCCCTGCGAGGAGTGACTGAAGAAACTGGGGCTGTTCAGTCCAGGGAAAAAGAGGCTGAGGGGAGACCTTATTGCTCTCTTATAATATCTGAAAGGTGCTTACAGCGAGAGTGGGGTTGGTCTCTTCTCACTGGTGACGGGACGAGGTGAAATGGCTTCAAGTTGTGCCAGGGTAAGTTTAGGCTGGATATCAGGAAACGCTTCTTTACAGAAAGGGTTGTTAAGCACAGGAATAGGCTCCCCAGGGAGGTGATTGAGTCACCATCCCTGGTTGTGTTTATAAACTGTTTGGATGTGGTGCTCAGGGACATGATTTAGTAGAGGGTTGTTAGTTAGGGTAGTATGGTTAGGTTGTGGTTGGACTTGATTATCTTTAAGGTCTTTCCCAACCTGAGCAATTCTGTGATTCCACAAACCAAAAAACAAACAAACAAAACTAACCACGAACCATTAAAAGTTAATTAAACAAATGTTAATTGAGCAGCAAAATCCATGGCATATGGAGGAGCATTGGTCCTGTCACACTACTGCTCTCCAAAAATGGAATTGCAGGGTAGTACAGAGAGATGAACAGTATTATAAAATGTGGATGAAAAATATCAGAAACCATCAAAAAAGAATGCTATTATTACATGCACATCAGCAGGTACAAGTGACCATGTAAACTGTGAAATTAAATTATAGACTAATGTTTCAGGACTGACTGGTACCTTACATCTGTAAAACAGTGGAATGAACTAACAATAAACTTCCTTTAGGAAGTACAACAGTAGGAGTAGGGAGGAGGAAGAAGAAAAAATAACGCAGAAAACTAAATATTAGGAGGCTGCTGCTTTGCAGAAAAACATTCAGTCACCTGCAAGAACGCAGGACAGGCCAGGAATGCGAATGCAGGTTCCTGGATAAACGAGGCAAGATTAAGCTCCTTATGCTTCCTCCCTCTCCAGCCTACCTGTTAAGAACATACTCCAACTGGAGTAGTATGAGGAATATGCAGATTGTTTAGCTGCGTTCTGCTCTATTCTCACTAGCAGAAAGGTTTAAGAATGGGAAATATGCAAAGAATGCAAGCCAAAAATGAACAAGACTGCAGGAAATAGAGGAATGTGCACAACAACAAAGAAATAATGAGTGCAGCCTGGATATAGATGGTAGGCACAATTAACAGATCATGAAGTACACATCCAAGGGAAAAACTTACAAAGGAAAAAATAACAGGGGCCCTGACGAAATTTCAGACATAAACAAGCACAAATTGAGGCTCAGCAATGGGAGGATAAAATCCAAAGAGGAAAATGAAGGGTACATAAAAGTTGAACAGAGGTATTAAGGATTGTCAGACATATCAAAGAATCACAGAATTGGAGAGGTTGAAAGGGACCTCTAGAGATCATTGAGACCAACCCCCCTGCCAAAGCAGGTTCCCTACACCATGTTGCACAGGTAGGTGTCCAGGCGAGTCTTGAATATCTCCAGAGAAGGAGACTCCACAACCTCCCTGGGCAGCCTGTTCCAGTGCTCCGTCACCCTCACTGTAAAGAAGTTCTTGTGCACATTTGTGCGGAACTTCCTACACTGCAGCTTACGTCTGTTTCCCCTTGTCCTGTTTCCATGTAGCGCTGAAAAGAGACTGGCCTCACCACTATGGCCCCCACACCTCAGATATTTATAAACCTGGATCAAGTCCCCTCTCAGTCGTCTTTTCTTAAGGCTGAACAGACCCAGTTCACTCAGCCTTTCTTCATAGGAGAGATGCTCCAGGCCCTTCACCATCTTCGCGGCCCTCCGCTGGACTCTTTCCAAGAGATCCCTGTCTTTTTTGTACTGGGGAGCCCAGAACTGGACGCAGTTCTCCAGATGAGGCCTTACCAGGGCAAAGTAGAGAGGGAGGATCACCTCCCTCGACCTGCTGGACACGCTCTTTTTAACGCACCCCAGGATGCCATTGGCCCTCTTGGCCACAAGGGCACACTGCTGGCTCATGGCCAACCTGTCGTCCACCAGGACACCCAGGTCCCTCTCCGCAGAGCTCCCCTCCAGCAGGTCATCCCCCAACCTGTACTGATGCATGCAATTATTCCTCCCATCTACTTCTTTCTGTGACATTTTTAGCTACAAAAGGAGGCAGATATCAAACTGGTAAAGAAGGCTCATTTGTTAATCAGAAGACATTAATATCTACAGTCTTTACCTGATGATGTCCTTTCAGTCCAAATTTAAACCTAGCTATTTCATTCATCAGTGTACAGTCTCCACTGAGATTAGCAGCTCGAATCTATTGAGGGAAACAAAAAAGGCACAGGATAAGAAAAGTGTGGAAGTACAAAGTTTATAAAAAAGTAACTAATTTTTTTCTTCCTGGTGGCTGAGGGCAGAAAACACTCCTTTTCAATTTGCTAAGTACAGAATACCCTTTTTAACTGCTCATTCCTCTCCAGTGGATTACAAAGTAATACTATACAGCCTGCAGGTTTCTCTGAGGATTAAAGTTCACCTATTCTCAATGCTTAAATGAATGAGCTGAAAACAAAAGTAGACTCCTAAAAGAAATTAAGTTAATCCTAAAAGCATCTATTTTAGAAACTGATGAAGGAGTCTGGAAGAAAAGCAGGCACCTTTGAATGACTACCACCTGCAATATCTAGCATAGCAGTAACCCAAGCTCTTTAGAAATAGACACATTTAAATGAGTACATCTTCTTTAGCTTGTTAACTCTCTTGTCCTATGCAGTACAATTTCTTCTGTCTGTCAACTGTTCCACACACTAACTCCTGAGTTAAAAAGCACAGACAAAACTAAATTGCCTAAAATTAAGTGAAAACAAATACACACCACAGTGAAAACAAATAGAGAAAATATGAAATGGAAAAATTAAAATATTGACTAAATAAAACTTGGAAACACTATAATAATATAAAATAAGTATCAAAAGAACTGGAGAAAACAGTCTCAAAAAGAGCAAGATCAAGCCCAGTCATGTACCACATATAGGAATAAGCAGTTCTATATAAACAATACTGTACTACTACATATACAATGTAAAATGTGCAACTAGCAACATTACAATCAAAAATTGCATGCTATGGAAGACAAAAAGTCTAAATGAAAAGCAAGTTAGCATATTTCTCAGCAAACAAAAAACTGCAGGAGAGGAAAAAAAAACAGTACAAATATTTAATTAAGATGTGAATGTATTCTAATCTCAAACTATTCTCATTTGGAAATAACCACGTCTTGTTACACTTCCACCCACAGGGACTACATTCTATTTAGTATAACACTGACTTGCCACTATTTGTGAAAACAAAAGGTTTGTTCTCTGTATGAAAACTGGTTAGGTTGACCAGATAGAAAGAACAAAATATCTCAAGAGCAATAACTAAATCAAATTAATATAACAGGATGTCTAATTGAACGACCCTAGCGACAATCAGCAATGAATTCAATGATAACATCAGAATCATTTGAACTTACCTCTGAGCAGGCCAAATGTTTGACATTTTTGAACCAGTCAACATGAGCACGGCAGTGATCAAAAGCATGTATCAATTCATGCGCAACCACTCGGTTCATATGGGACTGGTGGCGAATGTTGTTCTGACACAGAACAATCTGCAGAAGAGATACAGGTAGCTTTTTCATCAAGGTTTAACATCTCCTTCACTTCTTAGAGACCCACTGCATAAAATCCACAGCATACAGACTCTTTAGGTCATCATTTTTCAACATTAGTAGCCCCATCAATATACTAGCAACGCAAGTTCAATACTGGAGAACAACTTTCACATGCCTTGTTTTCATGACCGTAACTCAGATATCAGTACATTTTTTCATTAAGGAAGAAAACATTAAAAAACCTGTAGTCCTCTAAAAGGTCATAGAACGGCTTGGTTTAGAAAGGAACCCTGTAGATCATCTAGTTCCAGCCACCGCTGCCGCAGGCAGGGTTGCCAGTCATTAAATCAGGTACTAGATCAGGTTCCCCAGAGCCCCATCCGATCTGGCCATAAACACCTCCAGGGAAGAGGCATCCAAACTTCTCTGGGTAAATTTCTCCCCGACACCTAAACTAAATCTCCCTTCTCTTTGTTTAAAATAGTTCTCCCTTGTCCTATCACCATCCACCTGGGTAAAATGTTGATTTCCCTCCTGCTTGAATGCTCTGCATTGACAATACCTAGTTCAGTGCCTACCTGAGAAGTGGCAGAATCAAAACCTCCGCTGACACAGCCATCGCAGTTTTCACAAGAAAAGTGTCGATCGTTGAAAACAGTGCTAAAAGGTACAAACAAAGTTTGAGAAGAACTTGAGAAAGCCTGCTAATCCCCTGCAATGAAGATGTAACTACACAGAACAGGATGAAGTAGTTTACATACCAGCCAGACTGCTTCATGGCCGCAATAAGCAGTTGGGCATACGGATCTAGAAAAACATTGCTGCAGTCAATTTCACTAGACAAAAGTTTTGAAAGTCATCTACAATCAGAATACAAAGACCGTAATGACAGAAAGAATGCACTGCATACACAAATTTTTGCTTTGCAGTATTCAACCTTCAGGCAATCACTGACACCTCAGTGCCAGAGCTCAGGCTATGCAAAGCAGCACGCTCAAAGCTATTGAGAAGTGAAGTCACCTCTGACTGTCATTTTATAAGTAGCAGGCATGAAGATAGCGGACAAGGTCTGTGCAGGCAACATAACAGAGTCAGAATCAAGTCCTAAATGGGAACTCCCAAACCCCGCGGCTGCCGAGGCCCCGTCCTGCCGCCGCAGCTCTCCAGAAGCAGCCGCCCGGCACCTGGCGGCGGGCAGCCCTGCGGGGCGGCTGGAGACCTCGCGACCCAGGGGAGAGCTTACTCGTCTCCAGAGTCATCCTCAGCATCAACTGGCACCTGTTGTGGAAGGTGAAGAGGCTGCGAACCAGGAAGCTCTGCGGCTCCTTCTTGCGATCGGGGAAAAGCCGGTATCCGAAGTCATCCTCCTCCTCCCCACCGTCAGCACCAGGCGGCGAAGCAGACTCCCCGTCCTCCATGGCCTCTCACCACCTCCTCGCTCCTGCCAGTCACCGTCCTCGACTGCGGGGCAAAGGGCGGCTGTGCCGGCGGCGCCAATCGCTGGGCCCGCTTTCAGCCACGTGACGTGGGGGCGTAGCCAAGCGGTGTCCGCGGCTGCGGGCCAGGAGCGGAAGTGAGGCGTCTTCTCGCGCGCATGCGCTGTCCGTTGCCGCGGTGCCGTTGGAGCGCCGTCGCGCTGCGGCCTGGGAGGAGATTGGGCTGTGCAGCGGCAGGCGGTGCGGGTGAGGTTGAGGTGGGCAGCGGAGTGAAGGGCGGGCCGGGGTGAGACGAGCGGGGTCTCCTTTCGTGCGTGTAGGCGGTGTGGCGGTTACTCCAGCCTGCTTTCGTGCGGTGGGGGCCTGTAGCCCGCCCGGCCGCGTCTCCTGGGCACCCGTGTGGGGTTGGTGGGCTGTGTGTGGGGCGGGTGGGCGGCACCCGGTGCTGCTTCTCTGAGGAGGTGGGGAGATGGCGGCAGGCTGCAGAACCCAGAGCCGCTGTTCTCACAGGGTTCCTTCTGAGGTGTGCTGCTTTGTTCGCTCGATAACGGGACGGAGGTAGTGAGAGCCGCCTCGGGGTGGGAAAAAAAGTACTCGTATTTAAGCATGCTTATGTTGTCAGAAAGTGTATTTCAGCGTTGGCTTGTCACTCGTGTTGTTTCTACTCGGGTATAAAGTAGTGTGTAGATCTGCAATCTGTAATTGAGTCTCAGCATGAACATGTTGATTGTTTTCCTCGTTCTGTCTTCTGGGAAATGCTCCAGAAATTGCTTTGAACTAAGATGACTGCATCATCATTTCCTGGATTTTTCTTGACCTACTAAATCTCATAACTTATTCTTAAGTAGGAGTGCATGACTTATGTTCTGTTCTATTTTTATCTAAATGATATCTTGACTTTATGTTTTCACAAACGTATTTAACTGTTTCTTAGTCTCTTAATATTTAATGCTTTTGCCATGCTATTTGAGAAGCATGCCTACTGATTAAGTCAGATTTCTTTATTTTGAAGTTGCTAGCTTCCTTCAGTACGTGCTTACAAATTCTCCTTAGGAAGATCTCTTGTATTTTGGTAGGTTACAATGACTGCATCAAATAAAGCACTGGAGCTTCAGCTGCAGATAAAGCAAAATGCTGAAGAACTGCAGGATTTTATGAGAGAATTGGAGAGCTGGGAAAAGGATATTAAAGAAGTTGATTCTGAATTAAGGAAACAGAGTGGTGTCCCAGAAGAGGTAAAATTAGTGGACTTGTTATTATTATTATTTATTTATTAGACATGTCAGTGTTTATGCTGTAAAATCATACTTGTTTTGCAGATGTCTTATTTCAGAGAACACAGTTAACTTCATCAAATTATGTTCTGAATTAAAATACGAGTAGATGGTAAGAGCTGATTTGTTCTTCATTTGAAGTAGATGGAGGATCCCGCTGCAAATTATTCTGCTAACTCAGCTTTGAATCCATAGCCATGAATGCTTGGGGCCAATAAATGTTTAATCAGTTCCTGATAGATCTAATACAGTATTTCTGTTCGCAGCATCAATATTACTTATTTATTGTGCACTGTTAATGTATTAATCAGTGATACTTTGCAGAAAGTTGTCTTCTAAAACTCAGCATTATATCATGCATGTAATACTTGTTATTGCTATATATTGAAAGATTTATGCTTGCTATCTTTTTTTGTAGAATTTCTTGTAGAATTCCTGACAACAGCTTTCTTGATGGATTTATGAAATAAAAGTAGGCAGTAGATGGGGATACCTATGTGTACATATAGGTACTACAGATTATTCAGTAGAAGCAACTTTTGTATCTCTGTTTCTTTTATAATAAAGTACTTATTTCAATATAGAATTTACCACCCATTCGAAACAAAACTTTTAAGAAAAAGAAGAAAAGCAAAAGTAAAGTCCCATCAAAGACAACCACTGAGGAAAACAAGAAAAACAAGATCAAGTCTTATGATTATGAAGCTTGGGGAAAACTCGATGTGGTGAGTTAGAGTAATTGCTTGTTGACATGGTTTGATTTCTTTTTTGTCCCTAGTTGATTTTGTTTTTAAATCACATTTTCTAATAGTGCTGAGAGTTACATTTAGAGGTCAGAATCCTACTTTACAGGAGATTTTATGGACAAAGAAAATAGCTTTTTCCCTACAAAGGATTACGCATTGGAATAATGAGAAATGCTATAGTTCTTTCTCTCTCTGTTTTCATCCAGCAGATTGCATTTGACTTTCAGGGAGCAAAAATGTTTTAACGATAGGTCTATTAAAAGATTATAATTCTAGTATAATATGACACTAAACACTGCTGTTGGTGTCAGAAGATAGATATTGTGGTGTGTGGAATACTTCTCAATGAAAAGGACTTTAGTGGTAGAGATTCTTAAACAGATGAAACACATTTTTCTAAAGTTTTACCTGATTTATTTTGTGTTTTGAAGTTATTATAAAGGTAATGGTTTATTTTATCTATTTTCAGGATAAAATACTGGAAGAACTTGATAAAGACGATAGTACTCATGATTCTGTATCTCCAGAATCAGACTCTGAAGAAGATGGAATTCATATAGATAAAGAAAAGGCTCTTGCAGAGAAGGAAAAGGTTAATACCAGTGTTTACTATCTACAAATTATCTATGAAAAAAAAAAACAACTTAAACACAGGAGCTGTTATAATTGCTTCTTAAAGATTGCTCCCTAAGATAAGACTGGAATGTGCCTGCTCTTCAGATTTTTTTGAAGTCTTTTTTTCTGGCCCATTGTTTCAGCATTTGAAGTTCTGACTGCATTTCTCTTACCATCACTGATGATGGCATGTTCTACTTAATGTACAGTTAATAACAGTCAATATATTGGTATTGTTCTTATATTAAGAAATTTGAATGCTTTATAGAATTCCTGCATGAATCAAACTGCTATTTTAGTTACAAGAATTATTTCATAGTAAAGCAATATCGTCTGAGAGATATTAAAAACATTTGAGCATTCTAAAATACAAGTATTGACTTATATTAATTTTTGATTAAAAAATATATCTGCAATAATTGGCTAAGATTACTCCTTTATTTCTATTCACAGGGTAACAAATACTTTAAACAAGGAAACTTTGATGAAGCTATAAAGTGCTACACTAAAGGGATGCATTCTGATCCATTCAATCCAGTACTGCCTACAAACAGAGCATCTGCTTTTTATAGAATGAAAAAGTAAAAATTTTATTGTTAAATCATATTTTTTTCTTTGACGTGCTACCCTCGGTTGTGTGGCTTTATCATCTAGTTTACCTTTCAGCTTCTATCAGCTCTGTTTCTAAAACTCTAATTTCTTTTCAGAGAGGAAAGGGTATGAAGGAGTTGGTTATATTATTTGTTGCAGTAGGTTGTCATCTTCTTTCCTTTCTTGATTTGATGTATTCTGAATCAGAAGTTGTTTAAATACTTGTGCTGTGTCTCTTGAGAAGCCTGCAAGATTCTCACTTTAGAAAGAGCCTGTAAAGTTTTAAAGTATCTTCCTAAGGTTTTGGGTTTTTTTTTATCTAAATGCTTGCAAACTAACTCATTCATGTCTTTGCTAGGTTTTCTGTTGCAGAATCTGATTGCAATTTAGCACTTGCTTTAGATAAAAATTATACAAAGGCTTATGCCAGAAGAGGGGCTGCTCGTTTTGCTTTGAAAAATTTTCAAGGTGCTAAAGAAGGTGGGTTTTCTTCAACATATTCCTTAAAAAACATACAGTATTCACCTGTGTGCTTGGCAAAAGTTTATATGACATGCATATTCGGTGCAGGAATTTAGGTTTCATTTCCTTTTTAAAAAAATAATAATAAACCATACCACATCTTTATTTCAAGGTAAAGTTCAAGCTGCGAGTCCAAATAATTGCTGTAGTTGTCAATACTTACGTGATACTTCGGCACTAAATATCTTTGAATATCTCATGGTTTGCAGTATCTGGGTTTTTAGGTAACTAAAACTTTATCTCAAAGGAATTTTATTTTATGCTTTCGCTGCTAACCTCTTATTCCTGCCTGAAGTATTTTTTTCTGATTTTCTGATAGATTATGAAAAAGTTTTAGAGCTGGATGCCAACAACTTTGAAGCAAAAAATGAACTGAAGAAAATAGAACAGGTAATACGATTGATATATTCTAACATAAATTAATTCATCCTGTTCACTTTATATCGTTATTAACTTATAATAAGAACCAAATTCAACAAAATTGCACAGGCTTTTTCTAATATTTGAAGATCACTGAGGTCGAAATTTGTAACTGAATTACATCTAATTTTGGAGTGCATGTGTAAGTTGTTGTAATGCTGGGTTGGCAGATTAGGACTGAGCTGTCACAGCAAGCTCTGTGGCTTTATCATCTTCCATTGGGGTTTTTTCAACCTCTTTTGTTAATGTTCTTGTTTTTTCTTTTAAGTCATGCATAGCATTTTGGTACAAAGTAGTAGTACATATGAGAGACATTACGTATCCTCCTGTCTATAGATTAAAGCCTAAGTGCCTATCCTGCCTATAGTTCCACTGGTTGCTGTGCCAAACTAGAAAGTGAATTTAAGCCTAGTGGAACAGAATATTCTGCTCCCTCTTCGGTAAGAGGGAAAGAATGTTGATTGTGATGAACTTAGTAAAACAGAAGGTGACCTAGCATTACCTCTTTAATTGTAGTCTTGAAAATTCTTTGAAAATTTCATTTCAAAATGAAGACCCAGAATCTCCAATAATTGAAGAAATAAGTGACATGTGATTTTGGAATATGTCTCCGAAATTATATTCCTTTTATTTACCAAGTAATATTCCTATTCAGAAGCCCACATAGAAATGCAATTTCAAGAACAGTTTAGAATGATCTCTTCAATTTGTGCTCTTACTGTAAGTTGAACTAGTGTTAAGATGCTTGGCTGACTTTTACAGTTTGGAAATACTCTAACTTCTGTTCTGAAAATGCATAAGTGAGGGAAATGCATACTGAAAAACAATGATACCTTTGCAGGCTCTATCATCTGAAA